TTAGTATTTTAATTTTTGTAAGAATTCATATATGATTATGTGAATATTAAACATCGCTTTTGCACATTTGCTATGCATGCTGCAATATCTTAAGGATTTTGGTGGTTAAAGGAATGATTGTTACTATTTCTGATATCCAGTATAAGAGAGTTTATTGTTACATACCTATATATTCAGTACAGTTCTTTAGGATAATGAATTAACATCCATTTTGCAGCTTTAGAAATTGATGTCTTAAGTGATCATCTGTTGCATTTAATATCATTTACAAAGACTATGAATTAGATTACCTATTGCCAAAGCATTTACAAACTTTGAAGAGAATGTGATAGTGAAATGTATTTGAAGTGTAGGTGGATATCTGATGGGGAATACAATAAGAAGCACCTCATTCTAAAAGCTAAGAATCTTCTTTCTACTAGATCTCATTTCCTGTTCTCTTCTGCTTACTGTGGAATGCTTGGTGATTTGCTTACTTGACATCAAATGGCTAAAATTCCATTATTGGTCATAATTGTTTAACTGAACAACTGGAGCCTGGCCCTCGCCCCACCCTGCCTTTGTCAGGGGTTCCTGGAGGCTCCACCTAGCCAGTCCCATCTCTGCTCCCCCATGGCTGCCGCTCCACGTGGTCCTGGCCAGAGGAGGGAAATGTCAGGGGCTGGAGGTCAGGGCCCAGGGCAGGTGTCCCAGCTCTGCCCCCACCCCCGGGCTCACCCCGCCAAGCCACTGTGCTAGTGGGAGCCTGTCTCCTCCTCTGACTCGAAGTTTCTTCCACCCCACCGTCGCCTGGATCAGTTAAACTCAATTATGTTGAGTTTTCCCGCTTAGATCTAAAATTCTTCTGTGTTGGTAAGTTTGGTCTTTGTTTTTTGTTTTATTTGTTCCTTCTTTATTTAATTTTATTTAATTTTATTATTTTATTTATTTATTTTAAATATATTTTATTGATTTTTTTTTTTTTTTTTTTTTTTTTTTTTTTTTTTTTTACAGAGAGAAAGGGGAAGGGATAGAGCTAGCTAGAAACATCGATGAGAGAGAAACATAGATCAGCTGCCTTCTGCACACCCCCTACTGGGGATGTGTCCGCAACCAAGGTACATGCCCTTGACCGGAATCCAACCTGGGACCTTTCAGTCCACAGGCCAACGCTCTCTCCACTGAGCCAAACCAGTTTTGGCTTCATTTATTTTTTTTAAATTTTATTGTTTAAGGTATTACAAATAGTAATACATATGTCTCTGTCCCCCCCCCCCCCCCCCACTGATCTCCCCCTGGCCTCCCCTACTCCCCAGCACTTGACATTGGGGGCGGGGGGATGAGGGCAAGTTTATTTTATTTTTTAGATTCCACATATCAGTGAAATCATACAGTATTTGTCTTCCTCTGAATATTACATTGGGTATATGTATATGTATATATTGAATTGCATATATTTCAATATTACTAGAGTACAATAATTCTCCCTCCTCACACACATCTTTATCCATTCATCTATTGATGGATACTTAGGTTACTTCCATATCTTGGTTATTGTAAATAATGTGGAGTGAATACAGGGATGCACAAATCTCTTCAAATTAGTGTTTTCATTTTCATTGAATAAACACCCAGAAGTGGAATTGTTGGGTCATATATAATAGTATAGTAGTTTTGAGGTATAGTAGTCTACAGTAGTATAGTAGTTTTAATTTTTTTGAGGAAACGTATACAGTTTTCCATAGTGGTTGCACCAGTCTGTATTCCCACTAACAGTGTCTGAGCATTTTATTTCTCCACATTCTTGCCAGCACTTGTTATTTTATTCTCTTTTTGAGAACAGCCATTTTCCACAAGTGTGAGGCGCTATCTCACTGTGATTCTGATTCACATTTCCCGGCGATTGGTGATGTGGAGCATCTTCTCGTGTGCCATTGGCTATCTGCATGTCTTCTTTGGGGAAAGGTCTGTTCAAGTCCTCTGCCCATTTTTTAATTGGTTGGTTGGTTGTTGTATTTTTTATACTAAATTGTGTGAGTTCTTTATATAGTTCAGAAATGAACCCGTGACTAATGTAGGACTTGCATATATCTCCTCCCATTGAGGAGGTGCCTTGTGTGTTGTTGATGGTTTGCCTCCTGGCAAAGGTTGTTTAGTTCGGTGTGGTTTCATCTGTGCGATTTTGCTTTTGTTGCTCTTGGCTGAGAAGACTGGTTGCTCAGACAGATAGGGAACTGCTTGCAGCCTGTATTTTCTCTTAGAAGGTTTGTGGGTTCAGGTCTTGCATTCAGGTCTTTACTCCATTTTGAAGTTCTGTATGTGGTATAAGATAATGGCCAGGTTTAATTATTTTATATGAAGCTGTCAGTTTTCCTAACACCATTCGTTGAATAGACAGTCTTTTTCCCACAGTATATTTTTGCCTCCGTTGTCCTAGATTAATTGACCAGATAGACATAGGTTTATCCCTGGGCTCTCTGTTCAGTTCCATAGATCTATATGTTGGTTTCCATCCCAGTACCATACTGTTTTGATTACTCTAGTGTTGCAGTATACTTTGAAATTAGGGATAGTGATACCTCCAGGTTTGCTTGTCTTTCTCAAGATTGTCATGGTTATTCAGGGTCTTTTCTGCTTCCATACAAATTTTAGAAATTTTAAGGAAACAAACAGGTAATTACCAGAGAGGGAAGGGGTTTGGGGGCAGTTAACATAGGTGAAGGGGATGAAGAGGTAAAAACGTTCAAAGTAAGCCATAAGGATGTAAGGTACAGTACAGAGAATGTAGTGAATGCTATAATAACTCTGTACGGAAGAATATGCTAAATAGATTTATTGGGGGGGGATCATTTACTAATGTGTATAAATTATCAAATCACTGGCATGTACACCTGAAACAAATAGGATATTGTATGTCAATTATACGTCAGTAAAAAAGATGTTATCGTCTTTTCCCCCCTGGGTTGAAGATCTTTTTAACTTCTGTTTTTTAACTTATTATTTTACAACCTTTATTACTTGACAGTCTCATTCTTCCGATCTCTGCACCAGAGAAAACTTCAGCAACAGTAGCTCCTGTCATTCTGTCAGTGTCAGCTATTTGTCTTGAAGGTGTCGGTTCCTGTGGACCAAATTCACTTACACCATTTTTACTTGCAATGTAGGGGAGGGGGAGGGACTCCCATAACTCAGAGCGCCATGTTATGCTTTTCATTCCACCTCTGTGTGTAAGTGTTGCTTTTACAGTGCAGTCAGTGAAGCCAACCTACTCCAAGGAGCCACTTTGCTCCTCTGGCCATGCTGGGCCCATCCTGAGCACGTTCACAGTCCTCGCAAGGACCTTGATAACCCTAGTTTGTTGGCCTGCAAAATAATCCCTGAGCTTGCATGTCTCCAAGTGTCACCTGCAGCAGGGCTTTCAGTAAAAGGAACTTTGGGCAGCAATCTAAATGCTCCTATTATTAACCTGGGTTCGATAATGTCAATCAAGTTGATTTTCTTGAGATTGGAGAGCCATCCTTTTGGAATGAAAAAATTTGTTTTTCCTTGGAGATTGTTAGTATTAGGATTTTATCTGTAATAGTTATATAAAAAGAAATGATCAAAGAGATAGTAAGTAATTAGTCAGATAAGGAAGCTAAATTATGTCCTTGGTGCTTCAATGACACTTGCATTTGTTTCTCTTCAAATAGATTTTAAAACTTTCTTAGCCTCATATAAATCTTCATTTAGAATTGTATCCTTAACCAGGGTTGGTTCAAACTCAGGCCATATGATAAACATGTCCCGCATTATCTCCCTTGAAGAAATAGTGTAATAATTTACATATTTTATCCACTTTTTTAAAATATGTATTTTTTAATTGATATAAGAGAAAAAGGGAAAGAGAAATATCAAAGATGAAAGAGAATCATTGATCCACTGCCTCCTGCACTCCTACTGAGGAGCAACTCTGCAACCCAGGCATGTGCCCTGACTGGGGTTCCAACTGTGACCTTCTGGTATTAGGTCAGTGCCAGCTACTGAGCCACATTGGCTGGGCCAGTTATCCACTCTTTAGTTGAGACACTTACTATGTTCTAGATATTGCCCATTCAATCCCTCTAAAAACCCTAGAGATTGCCCATTCAATCCCTCTAAAAACCCTAGAGATGGTTTTGATAATCCTCCCATGTTCAAGAGAGGGAAGTTACTTTCAGACAGGTAGCATCTTCTTAAAGACACATCCTTAATAAATAATAACACAAACACAGATCTTTCCTTTTGCTGGTTGTTCTCATGTGCCCAGCAGGGTGTTCAATGCTTTCTGTGGCATTGAATGGAAACCTCACAGTACTTTTATGTTATTCTGTTTACAAATGAGGAAAACAGTGCTTGAGATGTCATGTGACTTGCTGCAGTGTCAGGGCAGACAAGGGGAGGATTGGGCAAAAGGTTTTGACTCCAGACCGCATCTTCCTAACCAGCAGTATGCAATACTGCTCTCCCACCACCACAGTTGTGTACATAAGCTCTGAATTAGAACTGGGGTCTCTTACTCGAAAGCTTATTTTGTGTGCTGGGACTTTGCCCTCTGGTTAGTGACCTTGCCCTCTAGTTAGTGACCTTGCCCTCTCTATTACTCCTTAAAATGGGCTTCACACACCGAACTCTAATATATGACATTGCATCTCTGAGAAGCATGCCTTTGATGTATAGGTGTCCAGTAACCTGTTTCGGGGTGCATTAAGGGTCACCTTGGGTATCAGGTGTAGTCTGTGGCATCCTCGATCCAGCTGTTAGAATTCTGTCAGACCTAATCCTCTCCTATGGGCAGTTAGAGGGCTTTCTTAGTCTCATTAGCAGGCACAGGAGTCGACCATGAGAACTCACCTTCATGCTGTTTTTGAACCAGATTTTTGTAAGCTACTCACCAATCACTTTGATAAATCTTGCTAGCAGCTACTATGCTTTATGACTGAATGGGGGAGCATTTTTTTTTTTCCTTTTAGTTGATGTGTGTGTTTCAATCTCCTTTCCAGGTTGGAATTCTCCTTCATTATTCCACCCTAGCCACAGTGCTGTGGGTGGGGGTGACGGCTCGCAACATCTACAAGCAGGTCACGAGGAAAGCGAAAAGATGCCAGGACCCCGATGAACTGCCTCCGCCCCCCAGACCAATGCTCAGGTACCGACACCGCCGTTTACAAAACAGCGTGAACCGTTACGTTCCATGAAGTGCCGTCATAACAGCATAGCTGAGTGAAGGTTGGAAAGTGGAAGGATGGGCTTGGAGGCTGGGCTTCCTGAGTTTGAGTAGGGGCTGGGCCCCTTCCAGCCAAGGGAGTCCTTTATGAAGTTCTCATCCTCTCCGGGCCTTTCTGGCTCAGCTATAAGGTGGGGATGATTGCAAAGCAGAGCTGTTGTGCGGAAGAAATGAGTTAATGGGTAAATGGCAGCTGGTTTTATTTTCCTGGGTCAGGTCACAGATTTTTCTCCACTCAAGATTTTACTATCCTCTGCAAAAGAAAAAATAGTGTTGGAGTTATGCCTTTATTACTCATTATCATAAAAAAGTTGCCATGGGTCATCGTGCATGATGAGTGAAAATTGATCCATGTCTCTGACATTGTTAAGTGCCGGGTTTGCCTGTAACTGAGAGAAACCCTCCCGCCTCAAGGAGCTTATAGTCGTGGAAAAGACAAGCATGAGAGGGACTGACTGGTGACAGTTTAGAACGGCTGCAGAGCCCTGGCCCATGCAGAGCCCTGGCTTAGTGGTTAGAGCATTGGCCTGAAAACCGAAGGGTCGCTGGTTCATTTCCTGGTCAAGGACATGTACCTCTCTCACACTGATGTTTCTTTCTCTCCCCCTCTCTCCCTTCCACTATTTCTCAGTGGAAAAATACATCCTCAGGTGAGAATTAATGGCAACAACAAAAAAACCTGCCTTGGAGGTGCATTTTCTGAAATTGCAAATCAAGCAGCTGTGAGCAAGGGCCTGGGGGCTCTTATTAATGGTTAGACCACTGGCATGAACCTTCAGGAGTGACTAGAGCAGAGGGTGGGGTGGCACTTCAGATTCAGGATTTGGTGGTGAGCCCAGAGACCTGAGGAACGCACTGTGGCTACAGGCCTGGTGAATGGTGGAGAGGAGCAGGAGTTCAGGGTGATGCTGAGCTTCAGGCCTCTGGCTGCCCTGGTGACACATCGGCAGCACTGAGGGTTTTCAACCAAAGGTTCAGAGCCTGACTAGGTGGCTTTTTAGAAGGACCGTGTATTGTCTGGAATATACACTGAGTGGCCAGATTATCATGATCTCTGAACGCATATTCATCTGGCCACTCAGAGTGAGTATATGTGTGTGTGCATGTGTGTGTGTGTGTGTGTGTGTGCTGTGTATTAGAGGCCGGATTCATGAATTCATGCATGGGTAGAATCCGGCCATTCTAGCCAGGGAGAGGGGACATGGGCAGTTGGCTGGCCTGCCTGCTGGTCAAACTCCTAGTCGAGGGGACAATTTGCATATTAGCCTTTTTTTTATATAGAGTGGCCAGATTATTATGTGTTCAGAGATCATAGTAGTCTGGCAACTCAATATAAATTGGAATGCCTGAGAATGAAGAAGTCCACCAAGGGCATTAGGGGGTCCCCTGGTGGCTGAAACAAGAATGGTGACAATGGTGACATTGAAATTAGAGAGGTCATCTGTCCAAGAGACTCCAGGCAGCTTCTCTAGGGTTGATGACATCCTAGATTTGAGAGGTGTGGGAGGAGGAGACGACAAAGATGGCTGCAAATGTCTACTTCATTGAGTGAGGCTGCCAACAGGTGGCACTTCTATCAAGTAAGGAAGTCATGTAAGAGAGTGAATGGGGGAGGGGTGTGATGGGTGGAGTGATATGCAAGGGAAGGTGGCTCACTGCTGCTTTCTCATGGAACGTGAGGTTTCTGGAAGTCGGGTGCTCAGCAGAGAAGAGGAGCTGGATGTGCTATAGATGGGAGGGGGACGTTTACCTGTGTGGTCCTGTGATAGGACCCCCAGGGAGAAGTTAGCTGACAAGAGAATGAAAGGTGAAGCAAATGATGATGGTATTATTTCCAGGGCTGCTTAATAGACAGACCCTGGGAAATAAAGGGATGAAGAGTCACCTATTGTGGAAATGCACACTTGAAACCTATATAATGTTATTAACATCATCACGATAAATGTAATTAAAAAGAAAATGTAAAAAATAAGTAAACATATTCTGATAGGGCTCTGGGGGGTAGTTCAAAAGGTCTGGCCAGTGTGGCTCAATGGTTGAGTATCCAGCTCTATTACCAGTCAGGGCATAAGCCCAGGTTGCAGATTCGATCCCCAGTTGTGGGTGTGCAGGAGGCAGCAATGGATGTCTCTCTCATTATTGATATTTCAATCTCTAAAAATTTTTAAAAAAATGAAAGAATTGAAAAGAGCACTAAGAGCATAGAAGATTCGGGAAGAGTAGCCCAGGACAATGAGGGCAGCAGCATGCCCTGCCAGAGTCAGATTAGAGAGTGAGGGCTCTAGCATCCCTGTCACTTGTATCACAAGAACTGCGGAAAGGTGTTTGGCTAAGTGATGGGGATCCTGTCCTTAAGCAGCTGTTGCCTCTGTAAGTAAAAGGTAGCTTGGCCTCTAAAGCTGATGTGGTCCCTGAATGACCCGAAAGTACCTCTTTACCTTTAGACAGTGCAAGCTCCTCCTTCCCCATGACCTTGAGCCCGAGGAAGCCCCACCAGCCTGGCCACTAGAGGTGGACCAGAGGTCCCTGAGTCTCCTGACACCTGAAGTGGCAGTTTCAGTAGCATATACGTGGGAACAGCCTCACAATAAGGTGAGAAAGGTGAAGCAAATGATGATGGTATTATTTCCAGGAGTTTGTCACTGACAGAAGAGAGAAAGGAGGGGGTAGGACAAGACAAGTTTTAGAAGAGGAGAAAATGTGAATGCAAATGTTTAGGCTGGAAGTAGGAGGCAGTGGAGAAGCTTTAAAGCTACAAAATAAGGGTTCGTTGATAACAGGAAGTTCTGGCGGTGGGAGGGAAAAGGGCAGACTTATGATTATGGGGGAAATGGCACCTCCTTCTCAGGGAAGAATTGATGGGAATTAGCATAGCAGGAAGGGAGAGGATCTCCAATGATGACCTCCCTCTAATGTGTGAAGTAGAAGACAGGGTTATGGTTTTATAACATAATTAGCTGTCTTTTTCAGCAAATTAATATATTATATTAATTAATATATTATATTGAAGGGTTTTAGTACCTGTGAGCATGACCAGGAAACAGAGAAATGGATCATGAATATTGCCGTATTGCCTTTATCCAGCCAATTTGGTTTTGGGGCTGTGTCCAGGAAGTGGCAGCATTAAGACTCTGACTGTGCCCAGGGGTCCCCAGCCTGGGCAGAATATTGCCCGTTTCTCTTTTCAGAGAGCTCAGAGAAGCTGGGACCATATAATGAAGGTGTGCACCTAGGCTCAGCAACACTGTCCCCCGCAGTTCTTAGTGCACCGTCCTCTGTCTTGCCCTCCTCAGCTAGTCTGAGGGAAAGGGGCCAGGAGGGGCCAGATGATGAGGGTGCTGGGATCCAGGGACCTTTGTAGCCTACTCTCAGTTGACTGGGAATAAGCATGCACACCACTGGACTGTCCTAGAAACACAGGCTTAGCTGGACATCTACACTAATAAAAGAGAAGGATGCAAATTGACTGTACCTTCTCGACACCCACCAGCCAATCAGGAGTGAGTATGCAAGATAACCCAACAAAGATGGTGAGTTCACTTGCATACACAGGCACCCAGCAGTACTATGGGGAGATGGAAAGGAGGCTCCCGGCCAGAGTGAAGATAGAAAGGCAGCTCTGGGATGGAGTAAAGGCAGAAAAGCGGCTCCGGCCTGAACAAAGGCAGAGCCGGCAGCCAGGGGAAGGAAGGCCCATTCTTGCATGAATCTTCATGCATCGGGCCTCTAGTCCTATGTAATAAAAGCATAGTATGAAAATTGTCCCCTTGACCGCAAATTGTCTAGGAGTTCGACCAGGGAAAAGGGCTAGGGGAAGGGAGGGAGGCCCTGGCCGGCAGGCACTAGGGACTTACCAGTGCACAAATTTCACGCACTGGGCCTCTAGTTAAATAATTTAGCCCGGCCAACGTGGCTCAGTGGTCTGCCTGTGAACCAGGAGGTCACAGTTTGATTCCAGGTCAGGACACACGACTGGGTTGTGGACTCCATCCCCAGTGTGGGGCATGCAGGAGGTAGTTGCTCAATAATTCTCTCATCATTAATGTTTCTAATCTCTTCCTTCCTCTCTGAAATAAATAAAAATATATTTAAAATAAATAAATAGCCATTCTGTGATTTGGCTGCACTATAGCACAGTGAGATCTTCAAGTCCATTTTTTTTAATGGACTAACTCTCCCGTTCACCAGCTGAACCTAAAAAACAAAACAACAATAACAAAAGAAACAACGGTTCCCCCTGAAAGAAAAAGTATGGACTAAAACCCTCCCTGCTATAGCGGTGTTACCATGTCTGTCCACAAGATGGCAGAAGATGATCAGCTTTCCTCCACTGGGAAACTTGGTGGACCCTGTGCTTTGAAAAAAGGAAATCAAAACAAAATTTAAAAAAAAAAAAAATTAAAAAAGCATTATTGCTCACACAGCAGCCTCTGAAAGTTACCCTGCAGCTTCCTGTGTAATGGGAATAACAGTCTTTAAGGAGTGGCTGGTGCAGAGATGAGATGTGTCCACCTTAACTAACGGGACAATGATTTGTGACTTCTTTGATTCCTCCTCCCAGGTTCTACCTGATCGGGGGCGGTATCCCCATCATCGTCTGTGGGATCACGGCGGCGGCCAACATCAAGAACTACGGCAGCCGGCCCAGTGCACCCTAGTGAGTAGTGTGCGCTCTCCTCCATGAACCTGCCCCGGGGGCCCCTTGGTCTCACTCAAGTTTATTGCAATTTCGCCAACCCCTTTGCACCTCCGCAGCCCCTGAGTCGGCTCTCCCTTTTCTCTTCTAGCTGCTGGATGGCCTGGGAACCGTCCCTGGGAGCCTTCTACGGGCCCGCCGGCTTCATCACCTTCGTGAACTGCATGTACTTCCTCTGCATCTTCATCCAGCTGAAAAGGCACCCCGAGCGCAAGTACGAGCTGAAGGAGCCCGCCGCCGAGGAGCAGCAGAGGCTGGCGGCCACCGAGAACGGCGGCGTGGGCGTGGGCGAAGTGGCCCAGCAGGACTCCATGTCCCTGTCCCTGATATCCGCTTCGGCGCTGGAGAACGAGCACTCATTCCAGGCGCAGCTGCTGGGCGCCGGCCTGGCCCTGCTCCTCTATGCCGCCCTGTGGCTGTGCGGGGCGCTGGCGGTCGCCCTGCCTTACCCCTTGGACCTGGTGTTCAGCTTCTTCTTCGGGGCCACGTGCCTGAGCCTCGGCGCCTTCCTCGTGGTGCACCACTGCGTGACCCGCGAGGACGTGCGGCTCGCCTGGATCCTGACCTGCTGCCCGGGCCGCAGCGCCTACTCGGTGCAGGTCAACGTGCAGCCCCCCGCCGGCTCCTGCGGCGGCGGCACCAACGGCGAGGCCCCCAAGTGCACGCACGGCGGCAGCACCACCGCCGAGTCCTCCTCGTGCACCAACAAGAGCGCGTCCAGCTTCAAGAACTCATCCCAGGGCTGCAAGCTGACCAACCTGCAGGCGGCGGCGGCCCAGGGCCATCATGCCAACGCGCTGCCTGCCAACGCCGCCCCGCAGCTGGACAACAGCCTGACGGAGCACTCGGTGGACAACGACATCAAGATGCACGTGGCGCCCCTCGAGGTCCAGTTCCGGGCCAACGTGCACCCGGGCCGGCATCACAAGAACAGAAGCAAGGGACACCGGGCCAGCCGGCTGACGGTGCTGCGGGAGTACGCCTACGATGTGCCCACGAGCGTGGAGGGCAGCGTGCAGAACGGCCTGCCCAAGAGCCGGGGCGCCGGCGGCGAGGGCCACTCCAGGAGCCGCAGGGCGTACCTGGCCCACAGGGAGCGGCAGTGCAACCCGCCCCAGCAGGACAGCAGCGACGCGGCCAGCACGCTCCCCAAAAGCAGCCGCAACGTGGACAAGGCGGTGCCTGGGAGCAGCGGTAAGAAGGATGCCTTCAGGAAGGCGGCTGCCGTTGAACTTGATAGTCAGCAGAAGTCTTACGGCCTCAACTTGGCCACCCAGAATGGACCAGTCAAAAGCAGCGGCGGCGGCGGCCAGGAGGGGCCCTCGCTGGGCGCGGACGGCACTGGCAACGTGAGGACCGGGCTCTGGAAGCACGAAACGACTGTGTAGCGGTGCTGGGCCTGCTGGGCAGAGAGAGAGAGCGAGCCAGGTCCACGCCCGGAGTCACATTCCTTGGAGCTGTGGACGCGTGCAGACAGACTGTTTACAGCCACCTTAGGGACTCAGAAGAATTTTGAATCAACTTCAGAGTTTTGGATGGTAGTTCTTTTATATGCCCCAGTTGTTGCTTTTTTATGGAAAAAAAAAAAGAGAGAGAGAAGGATGAAAACCTCAAAAGCATTGTTTTTGTCAGTCTATGAGCAGGACATTTTGGCCTGGAATGTAATTTCTTGAAATCTGTAGTACTGATGTAACATTTCAGATGTGTATTTAATACAATAAATAGGTGTTGGTCATTGTGTCTATTTGACATTTTTATATTTTACAATAGAAGCATCGGATTCTTTTTTTTTTTGATGTCTTTATACATTGGGATAGGTTAATGAGATATATACTTAGGTTGGTTATCAGATGTTTACATGATTAGCTCCACCAATTATGGCATATAAATCCAAGGGCTTTTAGATTACTGTTTTATAAAAATATTAACTTGAATGTTACAAGTTTTTTAAAAGCTCACAGAATGTTTCTAAAAAGGTCTTTCTAAATTTCATTACTTTTGCCATATTAATTGGATCCTATTAATATTATTACCACTCTTGTGGCTTTTCCATGGTTTATGTTCAAGTTTAAGTTTCTTAGTCTTTTTATTTTTCTCTCAGCATATGATTTTTTAATGTAAATGAAGAGCTTACCATACAAGGTCCCCATTCACTTATTCTGGATTCTTTTTTTTTTTTAAATATATATTTTATTGATTTTTTACAGAGAGGAAGAGAGAGATATAGAGATCTAGAAACATCGATGAAGAGAAACATCGACCAGCTGCCTCTTGCACACCCCCTACTGGGGATGTGCGCACAACCCAGGTACATGCCCTTGACCGGAATCGAACCTGTGACCCTTCAGTCCACAGACTGACGCTCTGCCACTGAGCCAAACCGGTTTCGGCTTATTCTGGATTCTTTAATACTGCTGTTATGTTGATTATTATTTTGTTCTTAAAGAGAGGAAATTCCTGAGGTTCATGCTAATGTACTGATTTTTAAGGTCCATTGCAAAGATAGAAGCAGGTCTCATCCAAAAGTTAACAATGATCATCAGTGCAGGACAGTCCTTGTCCATCTGCAGTCCCGTCTCACTGTGGTCCATTCCTGGAACTCTCCAGAAAGGTGGATGGGGTCTGCCCTGACTTCTTTGTGCATTCTGTCCCTCTGATATGCCTGAAAAGATGGGACAGCTTAGATCTGTTGGCTTTTTTAAAAAATTTATTTATTGGGGTGACATTGGTTAATAAAATCATATGGGTTTCAAGTGTAACATTCTATAATACATCATGAATAGTGCATTGCGTGTGGATCTGTTATTGCCAACAGCCAATTTTTAAATCGGATCAGATTCAAAAATTTACATTCAAGAAATGCTAAGAGTCAAGCTTGCATTAATAAATGTCAAAATCTGATTTCCTGCTTATTTTCCCAGAGTAATTCTCACAGACACCACAGGATCACCCATTGGAGTATAAGGGTTCTTTTCATTAGGTTACTGCATTAGGAATAAATCGTTTTGTTTTGAAATAAGGAAGGAAACTGGTTGTTCTAGTTAAGGCTTTCATCAGGTGTGAGTTTTAGAAACATTCTTTTTGGTGGGGGAAACAAGGTGACCAGATGGATGGATGTGCCCCTTGTAGCCTGGACCACTGCCTGGCCAGGAGTTCCTGGTGAGTTGATGCATATGTGCAGGATGATGGTTACTAAAGACGAGGAAGAAAAACTAATGGAAAGTGGAGTGCATAGTTATTTTGTTATTTAATTTTGCTCTGTTATTTTGCAATGCATCATTCCAATGTTGAACCTGTTTCTTGACCCATAGCCCAATACCTCATAAGGAAAGAATGTCTTCCTCTACTTTCATTTTCCTACTTCTCCACAGGAAGTAATAAATGTCCCGTCCTGAAAATGTTCCCTCAGAATTTGAACTCAACAGTCTCTTTTAGTCACTTGATTGGTAATTTAAAGACTCAGGATTTTCAGGCCTGTCATGTATTCTGCCACGTAACTCTACAGCCAGAGAGAAGGATATAGAGAACCAGAGGGATTGGAGACAAAAAAAAACAGTGTTAAATGCTTTTGAGTGCCTGATTTTAGAAATGTCTGAAGTGTTCTTACATTTTCTATCTGTGAATTCTGTGACACATATCCTATCATTGAATCTCCCCAATCACCCACCTTATTTTTTTTTTTTATGAAAGCTGCTGTTTTCTGTTACTTACATACTATGAGTTCAAATAAATATGCCAGTATATTCTTCATCTCATTTTTTATTTTATTTTTTTGCATGTTCTCAGAGATTAGACATTGCTGTGTTGATGGAAGAAATAGTTCAGTTCTGACAAGTAAATGCAATTGATCCATTTTTGGATAAACATTCTAATTCACTCTCATGATTTGAGTAAAAAATATCTGATAATGTAAATACAATTTTGGCATTATTTTGTTGTTTTTATAAGTGATTTTAACCATCGCACTGCTAGAAAGAGTTTAAAAAGAAAAGGACATTTTGGAGGGCAGTAAATAGTATACCAAAATCACATGCATATTTAATATTTTGCAGGTGAGGATTGCTCTTCAGCCAAAATTACTCTTTTTGATATGAACAGAATATTGGTTAAGTGGTAGTTATTCAAAAAGCACCAATATACCATAACTGACTGCAAAGCTTTTCAGAAGAAAAATATTCTTGAAATATTTTCATATTCCATTGACTATTACCAATTTATATTCGTAGTGAAGTTTTTTGACTCATCAAATACTTTTTTTCTGCCACAAAATAGAAGACATAGTTAAGTTAATTATTCATGAAAATCTATTTATAATTTCATATTTATACTTTAAGGAAATAGTTATAGACAGGGTGTTAGAATGGAACTCCCCTGCCTCCGTTTCAACTAAAGTGTCAATTCTATGAATAATTTGATTCCAAACAGAATGAGAGCATCAGATGCCAATTTTATAAAATAAATGTAGAGGAAGTTGTTCCACACCACAGCCCTATGCCCACCTGGCATGTTCAGGGTCGAAGAGGTCAGATAGACTTGGGAAGGAGCCTGGAGAACAGAGACCTTAGGAGGAGCTGTGGCCAGTAGCCATGAGAAAGGAGTGGAATTCCCTTCCTTTTCCTCCATCATGGTGGCAGGGATGCTACTAAGGAGACTGGAGGTCCAATTCACCCTTACCTTCAGGAAATATAGAAAAATACAAGATGAAATAAATGAAACAATGGTCCTCCAAAGACACCTGCTTCATAATCCATGGAGCCAGTAAACAAGTTACCTCACTTGGCAAACAGGACTTTGTGAATGTGATTACGTTACAGATCTTGAGACGAGGTTACCGTGGGTAAACTGGTGGGCCCAGTGAAATTACAAGGATCTTTTTGAAAGGGAAGCAGGAGGGTCAGAATCAGAGATGTGGTGGAAGCAGAGATTGGAGCCATGGGCAGAAACTTCCTCTAAGAAAAGGCAAGGACGGCTATTCTCTATTTCTTCAGAGCCTTCCGAAGCAACACAGCCCTAGCAAAAACTTAATTTTCACCCAGTGAAAGATTTTGGACTTCTGACCTCTATTACTATAAAATAATAAGTGTATGGTTCTTTGTTGTAATTAACTAATATATAGGCTAATGCTTTGGTGACAGCTCAGATCTGTTGCTGTGATGTAGATTGGCTTACATCATAGAACGTGGGAAGAAGGATTCCACCGACCAGATAAGAATCTCACAGAAGAGTTTTTTGTGAGGCCTATACAACAGTGGTCTTTGTAGGAGCAAGGAGGTCTCACCAGGAAGAGTCTAGAGGTTTGCCATTGACTTCCTGTTGTTAAGGATGAGCATCCATCTGTGTCAAGCAAAATAGGCATAGCAGAGCAGATGCAGTAGAGTAGGGCCCAGGGACCAACACATGACAGTTCCAATTCAAGGGCAATGTTTCTTGTTTTTTTCTCCAGCCTGTCCATTTGGATAGAACTTGTCCTTCAGATACATGAGGGAAACAATATGCAGAAATGGAGAGCTGACCATCACCACTTTCCAATTTCAGGCTTTGAAGTATAGTTGTTCTGGGAAGAGAGTAGAAGATTGGACATTAAAGCAAATTTACAGCTTTATGATCTTGAACTGGGATTTCTAATTAAGAATTTTTAATGGTATAAAGGGGCCATAGAGCTTTCCAGAATTTTCTTCTTGGGAGTACTTTTGTCTCTCACTGAATAAAGTATAAACAGACAATAGGGACAAAATACAGTTGCATCTTTTAAATTTTATGATCATTTTCAAGTGTAAAATTTGAGAAATTATAGTATGAATTCCCCTTGAATTGGGTTGTTCCCCTACCCTGAATTCATATGGGAAGCCATGGTCCCCAATGTCACTGTGTATTTAGATTAGAGCTTGTCAAAGGTGATTCAGATTATATGAATTGGAGTCTTAATGCCTTAAGATTGTTCGCTTTAGGAAGGGAGGGGGAGAGAAATCTTTCTCTACAGGAACACATCAAGAAAGGCCATGAAAGGACACAGCAAGCAGCCATCTGCAGGCCAGGAAGAGAGCTCTCACCAGAAATCTACCAGGCTGGCACCTAGTCTCAGACTTCTGGCCTTCAGAATTGTGAGAAAATAATTATATTTTATTTAAGCCACCCACTCTGGTTTTTGTTATGGCAGACTTAGCAGATGAATATGCCCTCTATCCATATACCATATTCAATAATTGTCAACATTATGTCATGCTTTATCTATTCTTTTTTATTATTATTGTCTAAAGTATTACATATGTCTTCTTTCCCCCCAATTGATCTCTCTCCCTCCCCATCCCCCCCAGCCATTCCCACTCAGGGCAAACCCCCACTGCCCCAGTGCCTGTGACCATTGGTTATATTACATGCATGCATACAA